GAGCATAGGGGATAGAAATGAGAAAAGCAATCTGCAGTCACACCACCCTGAGTGCACCCAGTCTTGTCTGATCTCAGAAGCTAAGCAGGGTTGGGAAAAATAAGAAAGCAAACAAAACAAATAAATGATTAAAACGAATTGGAGAGGAAGTGAGATACAGATGATAGGTAAAGTCGTTTCAACATAACAGTTTAGTCTCTGAATAATAAAGCTAAAATAGTGGAACACAATAAATATTTAGCGATACCATTCAAGAAAACTCTTCATAAGTAACAGAAGAGTTAAAATGACATATTGAAGGAGCACACCATGTATCAGGGGAAAATGATCCGGAATGGTTCACAGTGGGGTATATCTTAGCAAAGTCATTGGACTTTAAAATCAAGAGAGTTTCTGTGGGTGGCCATGGCAAAAGACCAAGTCACTAAAGGGGGGAAGTAAAGGGTTTGCCTCAGACTTTGCAAACCTCAATGCCAGAAGATAATGAATCAGTACTTTGAAATACACTCCAGGAAGGAAAATGAAAGACAAGAATTTATATTTAGTCAAGCTGTCTGTCAAATACAAAGACTACCATTCAAAGATATATTGTTTGTGAGATACATTATTATCATGAAAGAAAAAGTATATACTCCGTCAACTAACAAACATTGGGAAAGGGAAAGTAGGATATAGAGTCATTTCCTTGCGTGTAATAACAAAATATTAAAGGATGATGTCTTAAGCTGACAAATCAAGAAGTGGAAATATAAGCATATTTTACAAAATGAAGGTATTTTTTGTAAATTGTAAAGTTGTAGCAACGCTCTTCAGGGCAGTACTGGTTAAACAGATTATGGTTCATCCATATCATGAAATACTTGATAGCCTCATAAAAAAATGAGGAAGGTCTCTGTGTACTGATAGGGAAGGAGCGCCAAGATAAAAAGCAAGATGCAGAACATATAATGGAATATATGGTACCATTTATGTAAAAGGAGTAGAAAAATAGTATATAAGGATTTCATACATTTGATCAAAAAACTCAGGAAAAATACACAAGAGTCTTTAAGAAAAAAATTATCTTGGGGGAAGGCTTGGGAGGTGGTTGGATGGATGACTGGGTAGGGGTTAGGTTCGGGTTTGTTCTTTTTTTTTTTTAATGTTTATTTATTTATTTTGAGAGAGAGCATGCACATGCATGAGTGGGTCAGGGGCAGAGAGAGAGAGAGGCGGGGAGGGAGAGAGAATCCCAAGCAGGCTCCACACTGTCAGCATGGAGCCTGATTTGGGGCTCAGACTCAAGAACACGAAATCATGACCTGAGCCAAAATCAAGAGTTGGATGCTTCACCAACTGAGCCACCCAGGCGCCCTTCCTTTTCATTTTTGTAGTGCAAATGCATTACATATTACTAATTAGACTAATGGAAATATGAAATATTCTCTTCCTCCTTCCCCCAAATTCTGGTCCCGTATTGTCTTAAGCAAAGCTCTGAGGTAGTTTTAGCTGCTATCTCTACAAGGTGTCATGGGATTTTCATTCTTTCCAGAATGTAATCTTCTTAAGTAATCTTCCCCAGTCCTTCTAGGTGCAGAAAACACTGTTCTGTGATTGATGTGCTATTTCATCTGGACAGGTTCTCTGTCCTTTCTTAGGTTGTCTGCAAAATAATCAGTACTTATTAAGGCTGGTTCTGTCATTAAATGAAACTCTGTTTCTTATCCTTTGTGTAGGTTATTTATGGGATTGGTCTTGCTGGATCATTGGGCTCCTATGAGTGAGCATTTCCCCTTAAGTTAGTGTCTAATATTCATTCTCAACTTAATATGGTCAAAACAGAACTCTTGATAACATGTACCAACTTTAGAACTCTATGAAATAGGAAGATACGAATTACATTTAGTTTTTGTTTTTTTCATTTAAGGAAGGTGAGACATTAAGAGGTTGTGACTTGTCAAAAATTACTCAGAAAATAGGCGTAAGGCAGGGGCAAGGAGGGTGCTGCCAGACTGCCAGATGTCTTAACCACTGATCATGTGAATCCTGCCTTGTTGATATGAGGATTTAGCATGGTGGACTGAGTTATTGGGGTTTTCCCCTCAAGTGAGGCTAATTTGTTTTTTGGTCCTTGTGCAGTTATGCTTCCAAAGAGATTCTCACACTTATTTCCAGGGTGCATGAGTTTGGATATATAATTGGAAAGCAGTGATGCTACTATTATTAGTGTATACATGTATGCACACACATATATGCACATAGTGATTCAGTAGAATTGCCAGTGACAAAACTGTTACCTTTTGTGAGTTAAGATCACTTGAAGGGAATGCTCATGAAATCATGCTCATGACTTTGAACTCTTTTCCCTAATGAATAGAAGACATTCTGCAACATTTTCTAGAAGTTTTCTAAATGCTTTGGTTCTAATGCATTAATTGTATTGCATTTCTACTTTGGTTTCTAAAGTTGTGTGTGTAAAATGGGGGCGATAGTCTTGTCATCTTCACAGGATTGTTGTGATCACTAAATGGGATAGCTTATGTGAATGCGCTTTTGTAAAACTGTAAGGTGCCTTATCAAAACAGAGATGGTGGTGCTAGTATACGCTAATTAGTCTCACCTGTTCCTCATATGTTCCTACCATTCAACTCTGTCCCTTCCCAATTCACTCTTTTCTAAGAATAGGACTAAAAGGATCATATTAGACTTAAATTCGTGTACCTTAGTTTTTTTCCCCTCTGTGTTTCTTTTTCTGCATGCGTTCGTCTACGTAAAGACAATTTTCAATAATGTCATACATTAATGTCATACTTAATAATTAAACAATAGAGATATAATAAAAACCTATGAGTAATAGTGTGGACACAGGCTTTGTAAACAGACAGTTTTGTGTTTTAAAATCCACTTGTCCTATGTTGGCTGTGTGACCTTGGACAGGTTACTTAATCTCTTGTAGACTCAGTGTTCTCATGTGTAAAAATGAATGATAATATTTATCTTTTGACATTGTTGCGGACTAAATGAGGTACTTTTTGCAAAGCACTTTGGAACATTGTTTTCACAGAACACTTAGTCTACCCTCATGTCCTCAAACATGCAAATTCTAGTTCAGATATAATCACTTGATTAGTAGTTTTACCATTTTTGTTGTACTCCTTTTAATGTAAGTTATGTTGATAAAGATCAGAAATTTAACTCCACAGTTGCTCTAAAAACTTTCTATTTTAGATTCACTGGAATGAAAAATGAGTACATTATGAAAAATGTACATAACAGTGTATATTACTTTATTTCTGGCTTATGTGAGTATATGGGAGCCTGAAAACTCATCAGCTATTTCAAAATGAGGATGCATTTATTCATTATATTTTACATATACCTAGCTGGTGCTATTATTAGCATTTGGAATAAAGAGATGAAAAAAAAAAAAGTAGTTCTTGGCTACATTGGAGGTCACCATTTGTCAAAGGAGACAGGTAAATAAGTGGTTATAATCCAATATCAGAAGTAGTCTGATAGAGGTCTGCACAGGGAGCTTTGAGAACCCAGAGGAGGCACCTCCCACTTCTACATGGGGAGTGTGCGTGCAGTCGTTCAGATGTGCCTCCAGGGAAAATGACATCTGAGTCACATCTGGAACGAGCCAGAACCTGTAACCTGAAGCCTTTTCTTCAGACTAAGGACATGAATTCATTTTAAGATGATGTGGAGCCAATGAGTACTTTTATTTAAAGCAACATGAGGGGCGCCTGGGTGGCTCAGTCAGTTGGGCGTCCGACTTTGGCTCAGGTCATGATCTCACCATCAGTGAGTTCGGGCCCTATGTCAGGCTCTGTGCTGACAGCTTGGAGCCTGGAGTCTGCTCTGGATTCTGTGTCTCCCTGTCTCTCTGCCCCTCCCCTGCTCGTGCTCTCCCTCAAAAATTAAAAAAAATAATAATAAAGCAACATGAATGGATTGGGAATTTAGGATAACTACCTGGAAGCATACCTCCAAGCAGTGGCATCACATCAGTTTTATCATCATCTACATTGCAACCAGTTACTTAATATATCCAGCTCATGGATACCTTATCTCACTCAATCCAGCACCCTTTGAACTGCATATTAATTGCCATTATTCTATAGATATGAAAACACAGGGTAATACAGGTTAATAGAGGAGTTAGTGACTGGATGCATAAGGGAGAGTATGTTTGATCACCTGCCATTCTTCCTGGTGGGTTTAAGTTAACAGAAGATGAGAGATGATAATTGTTGATCCTTAGTCTCCTTTTTCATGTGTTTTATATATTATAAAGCATTTCACTGAATTTAGTTTGATTCTAGAGTTTAAAGATAACATGTGTTCCCTAGAAGATGGCTTTTAACCCAAGTCTGTTACTTCGTCTGGTACTTAAGGAAACTGGTTTGTTCTAACACTAGAGGAAAAAATGGTTGTGTTAAACTTGCTCTTCCTTAGAATTTTTCATCTTACAGGATTTTTGTCCCTATTCTTTAGAATTCTTAATAGAATATGTTACTTAATTTTCCAGTCCTCCTCCTTTTCCTCTAAATAAAATTATCTTAATATTTGAAATGATATCTCCTTAGGATTTGAGACGTTGTAGTTGTGTAATTGTTAAATTCTCATATGTAACTGGGGACCTGGATTCTCAGTATGAAGGGTAGTTTGAAACTAGATTTTTGTCTTTCTTCTCCATAATGTCTATCGAGTATATTCAAGCAATAGAATGAGAGGTGATAATTCTTCAGAGTTAAAAACAAAACAAAAAGCCTGACTATTAATCCAGCCACATTTCTCATTAGCTTTCCAAATCCTGTCAAAATTGACCGTTTACCCCTTCATTTTTAGTTCTTTAGTTGAAAATACAAATGAAGTACTTCTTTCTCTCCTAGAAATGTGGTATAGTGATTCGTTTTTTTTAAAAGGGTTTGTATGTAACTAGAAAGGAGTATAACAAAGATTGTGTGTGCACAGTTTCGACTTGCTATACTCACCTTTTACTTCTTTTATTTCAGCTCAATCTGAAATTGAAGTTTCTGTGTCTGCAAGAAATATCAGGAGGTTACTAAGTTTCCAGCGGTATCTTAGATCTTCTCGCTTTTTTCGCGGTACTACTGTTTCAAATTCTCTAAACATTTTAGATGATGATTATAATGGACAAGCCAAGGTGTGTATAACTTTTTCAGGAAAACATTAATTTTTGATAAGTTTCATGAAACCCCTTTTTTCCCATATGGGATTGACTTATTAGAACCTTTTTTTGTATGCAAAAATTAGTTAAGCCCATTATTCAGTTTTTCCTTTAGAGCAGGTGTTCATTTTATAATTAGGTGTTACAGAGCAAGGGAAATCACTGAAGTAACTAAAAGAATGAAAATGTTTTTGTTTATTGTAACAGTAAGTAACAAGTAGATCAGTAAACATTAAACTATAAGATCACACTGAATTTTAACTCTGGGAAGAATATTATGGCTATTCTGATCTAATGTCTATATGCTATACATAAAGAATCTATGACCTAAAGAGCATCAGGGACTGTTTGAGCTCACCCACTGTTTAGAGGTAAACCCAGCATAGGATGTTAGGTCTCATGACTTACAGTCAAATGACTTTTTATAGTCTCTTGCATCACTGAGCTATTTTGAGGGTTTATACATTTTCTAATTAAACCCAGTGATTGTGAGTATTATTTATATAGTTTAAAAGAAATGTCTTAATGAAGGTGGAGCTCAGATGAGCTTGTTTTTGACCAAATGAGAGTTTTTAATGATCTTATGTTTCTGACATTTTTAAAATTATTTTTTACCTAATATTTACAGGCCAGATTTTGTAAGTGTGTGTACATAGGGCTAAGGTACCTTCTTTACAATTGCATTAAAGTGCAAAAAAATTGTTTCCCTGTTTGTGAAAGAAATCTATAGAAAAGTGTTCATGCTTTCTTTAAATTGTAAAAAGTTTACAGGTTCTGCTTTTTAACATGAAAATATCGGGGCACCTGGGTAGCTCAGTCGGTTAAACGTCTGTCTTCGGCTCAGGTCATGATCTCATAGTTCCTGGGTTTGAGCCTCCCGTCGGGCTCAGTGCTGACAGCTCAGAGCCTGGATCCTGCTTCAGATTCTGTGTCCCTCTCTCTCTCTGCCCCTCTCCCGCTTACACACATGCTCTCTCTCAAAAATAAACATTAAAAAAAATTAAAAATAAACAAAATGAGAATATTGATCTGTGTATGAGTGGTTGTTAGTACTATCAAATAATCACTATTAGTAAGAGTATTTCTTATGTCAATTTATTGATAGATGTGTACAACAGTGAACTTTCCATAAAAATTTCAGGTTACAAATATATAGTGTAAAAATATGAATTTGGTTTGGTTGTTGTGAGATTTATTTGCTCAACTGAAATACACATCAACTTAAATGTAATAAAGGCTATTAATTATTGTATAATGATATTTAAAGAATATAAATAAATACCTGTAAGTTGGGAGTTTTTTTTTTTTTTAAGAAAAGGAATGACAAATAACTTAAGCATAGTGTAGTATAGATTCAAGTGCCTAAGTTCCAGAATCAGACCACCTGAGTTAATTAATATCCCAGCTCTGTTACTTTCTAGCTGAGCAAGTTAGTTACTTTTAGCCTGTTTCCCCATATATAAAGGAGGGTTAAAGACAACTCCTACTTCATAGTCTTGGTATGAATAGTAAGAGTAAGCAAAACACTTTTAACAGTACCTGGAATATAGTAAGTACTCAACTATTATAACTTATTTTTTAAAATCTAATTTCTAGACCATGCCATGTATGAACCATATATGGTTCATGGTGTTAAATTATGTTAGAATTCTTGAAAAGTTCATGGGAGTATAGGAATGAATTGAAAGAAACAATAACCTTACTTGTACATTCATTAATTGGAATACAAACTATTTGGTTTTCCAAATGGAGATTACCCTTTGGACACTTTTTTGGAGCCAGTTGGAAAGGTCATGATTAAAAGGAGAATGATACTTTGCATTTCTTAAAGTAAATCACTTTCTATTTTCACTAACTTCACTATGGACTATCTGTAAAAGACAGACTGTTATTGAACTTAAATTACAGTAGCAATGTTTGGTTTTCATTTCAGTGTATGCTGGAAAAAGTTGGAAATTGGAATTTTGATATCTTTCTATTTGATAGACTAACAAATGGTAAGTGAAGAGTTTGACTTACTCAAATTAATGTGTACTCTAGATTGCTGCATTGATGGTACAGTCACTCAGGGGGTTATTGCTTTCATTTACTTAGGTTATGAGCCCTCTGCTGCCAACAGAACATCATTTTGTCCCTTCTTTAGTGACTGATCTATAAGCTCAAAGAATCACTCTCATAATTTTGTCTTTTCATTACTCTTGGTTAGCAGTAATCAAAAGTCATCATCATCATCATCACTTGGCCATCCATCCCTAATTAATGCTACTATTATAGATAACCCAAAGTGAAATTGTTACCTCATTATTTTGTTTTTCTGTTTTGGTTTCTTTTGGGTTGTGGTCATTTACAATGACATCTTCTGATACTGTATTTCAGCTTTGATAGCCACAGATATGTGGTAGATTAATGACATTTTAAAGATATCCTTTCTTTTAACTTTATGGTTCTCAGGCTTTTCTTTCTCTGTACATTTGAGAGATATGACATATGATCAACATTGGTTCCCTATGACATGGCGTCTTTATGGTTGGGTGGAGATGAGCTTGTAGCTTCTTTAGGAGTCTTATCAGAATCTACAGAATATGAATGGTTTGAAAACACCAGGTGATTCTAATCTGTTTACCCCCTCCTGTGTTTTGTTTGGTTTTAGGGGCAAGAGTCATGTTTCCTTATTCTGTTTGGAACAGGATAAGGATTTCTTTTGAGAATCATTTTTATTTAGGGTAAAATTTTTGGCATAAAAAAAATGGTACAGGTTATTCAACTAGACCGTACTTGTCTAAATATCTCTTTGCTTGTCTAAATATCCTTTTAATAAGTGAAACAGGGGGCTCCTGGGTAGCTCAGTTGGTTAAGCATCTCACTCAATTTCGGCTCAGGTCATGATCTCATGATTCATGAGATTGAGCCCCGCAGTGGGCTCTGTGCTGACTGTGGAGCCTGCTTGGGATTCTCTCTCTCTCTCTCTCTCTCTCTCTCTCTCTCTCTCTCTCTCTCTCTCTGTCTTCCCCTCCTGCACACACACACACACTCTCTCTCTCTCAAAATAAATAAATAAACCTTAATAAAAGTAAAGCAGATTGGAAAGTACACTGAGAGGAAGCCACTTCTGAGTGTTTAGAATGAAGTGGGCCACCTGGGTGGCTCAGTCAATTGAACATCCAACTCTTGATTTCTGCTCAGGTTGTGATCCCAGGGTTGTGGGATCGAGCCCTGCACCGGGCTCCACTCTGAGCATGGAACTTGCTTGAGATTCTCTCTCTCCCTCTGCCTCCCCCTCCCCTGCTTCTGCATTCACACATTTTCTGTCTCTGTGTGTGTGTCTCTCTCTCTCAAATTAAAAAAAACAATTTTTTAGAGTGAATTAAATATGTAGTTCACTGCTATGTACTTTGAAATTGCCTTTTTGTTTTCTTTTTTTCTTTGGAAGGAAGCTCCTTTCATAAGGAAGCTAAATATGGGAAATGGGCAAGCAGATACAACTCTAGTCATCTTGAGAATCAATGTGGGTCTAGCTTTTTAGTATCACTACATTATTCCCTGTAAGCTGTGTGACCATGTAAAGTCCATGTAAAGAAAATAGCTTTGAGATCACCTTCTATTTGTCTGTACACTGTTGACAGAAAATAAATCGGACTGATCCTCAGCAAAATTGAAAAACAATGAATTCTGTTTTATCAGCACAGTCCCCCTCCTGCTTCCCTGCCATTTTGGGGTTTTTTTTCCTTTTCTCTTTCTCTTCTACCTCTCCTTTGCCCTTGGGTGACTGTTTTCTGCCTTTCTCTGGCCCCACTTGGCATGTCCACACAGAAAATGCTCTAGTATCGTTTACACAGTTGTCTTTCCCTTCAGCCTTCCCTTTTTAAAACATGTAGATGGCAAAATATCAGGTGACTCATCTTCTTCTAGATCTGGGAAATTCCTTTTTTCTAACTTAATATGAATATTACTTCAGTTATTATCCCAAGATAAATGTAGATCAAACCATGCCACCCTTCACACCTTCCAGGTTTAGCCTTCTATAAACTGTAATTGCTCCTCACCTGCTATTAGTCTGCTGGGACACTTTTACTCATTGAAATAGCTGTTTGCTTTCTAAATTCCATTTTTAAAAAGCACATATCTGCTAGTCAGGGGTCTTGGTGATGAAAGTAGAGTGAGGTTGAAAGTGTGGGATGGGCAGAATAGCTTTCACGTTAATCACCTCATTACTTTTTGTGAAGATGATGGCTGAATGGTTTCTTCTTAGGGTTGGTTGTTAGCAGGTAACTACACACCTGTGATTTTACAGATGGTGATACACATATTCATGTAACAAGAGCCACCCAAAAGTTACAGGAATTCTATACATGAAGAGCAAATGGGCAAGAAAAATTTTTTAACTTTCATTATTTTATTAGAAATGCTTTCCTTTTTTTTTTTTTTAAATTTTTTCTTCAACGTTTTTTATTTTATTTTTGGGACAGAGAGAGACAGAGCATGAACGGGGGAGGGGCAGAGAGAGAGGGAGACACAGAATCGGAAACAGGCTCCAGGCTCCGAAACAGGCTCCAGGCTCCGAGCCATCAGCCCAGAGCCCGACGCGGGGCTCGAACTCACGGACCGCGAGATCGTGACCTGGCTGAAGTCGGACGCTTAACCGACTGCGCCACCCAGGCGCCCCAGAAATGCTTTCCTTTTAAAAGTGCTTAGCCAGAAATGAATTCTGGATAATATATATGTATGGTACCCAAGTGTATAGTTTTCTTTTGTTGCTTACCGATCCCGTGCTTTCTGTATTTCTTACTCTGGCAATTCGCCAGATGACATAGTAGGGGGAACGCAGAGAAGAGGTAAAACTCAGTGATTCCCACCAAGACAAAGGGTCCCACCTTGTCCACTGCAAGGAGGAAAATACGTATCATCTGGTAGGATATATTTGGCATTCCTTTTATAGGAATGAGAGGTTATGTGTAAAATAGTAAGATAGGGTTTGTCACCCCCGAGATCTACCTGGCATGTGAGGACCCTTGTTGCCAGGTGTGTCTCATGGCAGCAGCCTCATCCTCCTGGCTGCCATCTGGAATCACATCTAAGAACCATCAATGACCCTTACATGTACCTTGAGCAGTTCTATCTTTGGATACATGTTTATGAAGGAGGCTCTTCTATAAGCACAATTTTCTTTTCCAAGAAAGTGTTTCCATTTTTGTATAAAGTAAGTTCTTCTGTGCAAGAAGAACAGGTAAGCATTACTTGTTTTGAAATGTTTGACTTGTGTTCTTATTCACTGGTATTAAAATAGTCCGTTGGTATCTTAAAAACTAGAAATAAGAAACAATGTTACACGCAGTTTTCCAATTAGATATGGGTAGTACACTTTGTTAGACTGGTTTTTGTCTGATTCTTTTAAAGTTCTTGGTGGAAGACATTATATGTATTGCAGATTGCCCGAATTCCAGAAGATATTTTACCATTAGATTGCAGCTTTCTTAAAACTTATTCAAGACCTAGAAATTGGTAATTTGTCTCATTAGGTTTGCAAAACAAGTTTGGGAGAATGCTATCGTAACCTAAACATACAGAATAAATATACATTCTTTTTTACTGAGATATAATTGACATATGATGTTATAATAGTCTCAGATGTACAACATAATGATTTGACATTTATATACATTACAAAAGATTACCACAGAAGTAGTTACCATCCGTCACCATAAAAAGTTATTACAATATTATCACCTATATTCCCTATGCTGTACTTTACATCTCTGTGACCTATTTATTTTATAACTGGAATTTTGTACCTCTTAATCCCTTTCACCTGTTCTGCCCATTCCTCCACCTCCTTGGCAATCACGTTTGTTCTCTGGAAGTCTGTTTCTGTTGTTTTGTTTGTTCATTTGTTTTTTAGATTCCAGATATAAGCAAAATCATACGGTGTTTGTCTTTCTCTATCTGAATTATTTTACTTAGCATAATGCCCTCTAGGTCCATCCATGTTATCACAAATGGCTGAGTAATGTGCCATTACAATAATGTTCCATTGTTTTGTGCTTTCAGCTCTCACATTTAGGTCTTGAGTCCATACTTTGTGTATTTTTGCACATGGTATGGGAAAGTAGTCAAGTTTCATTCTTTTACATGCAGCAGTTCAGCTTTTCCAACACCATTTATTGAAGAGACTGTTTTTTTCCCCATTGTATATTCTTGCCTCCTTCGTCATAGATTAATTGACCCTTAAAGCATGGATTTATTTTGGGCTCTCCGTTATGCTCCACTGATCTATATGTCTTCTTTTGTGCTGACACCATATCGTTGATTACTGTAGCTTTGTAATGTAGTTTGAAATCTGGGAACATGATACCTCAGCTCTGGTGTTCCTTCTCAAGATTGCTTTGACTATTGGGGATCTTTTGTGGTTCCGTACAAATGTTAGGATTATTTTTCTAATTCTGTGAAAAATGCTATTGGTATTTTTATGGAGATGGCATTGAATCTGTAGATTGCTTTGGACAGTAGGGACATTTTAACCATATTATTCCAGTTCATGAGCATGGTACATCTTTCAATTTCTTTGTGGCATCTTCAATTTTTTTCATCAATGTCTTATAGGTTTTCAGAGTACAGATTTTTCAACTCCTTTGTTACATTTATTCCTAGGTATTTTCTTTTCGATGCAATTATAAATGGGGTTATTTTATTAATTTCTCTTTCTGGTAATTACTAGTATATAGAAGTACAACATATCTGTATGTTAATTTTGTATCCTGCAACTTTGCTGAGTTCATTTGTAGTTCTAATAGTTTTTTGGTAGAGTCTATAGGGTTTTCTTTATATATAGGATTATGACATCTGCAAGTAGTGACAGTTTACTTATTCCTTCACAATCTAGATGCCTTTTATTTCTTTTTCTTTTCTGATTGCTGTGTTTTGTACTTCCAGTACAGTGTTGAATAAAAGTGTCAAGAATGGGCATCCTTGTTTTGTTCTTAGAAGGAAAGCGTTCAGCCTT